AAAAAATTGAAGACTGATCGTGAGACATCCGCACCAGAAGATCCAAACATCGGGTATCGAATTTTGAATTTTCTGACAGTGTTTCCTGCCTTATCGGAATGTGTAAAATGCAAAAAGTGTGATAGTGATATTCAATTCTCAATAGAAAGCACTCGAGGGCTCGGTTTTAAAATTGTAGTTTCGTGTTCATCGTGCAAACCTACTTTCATTCCTTCGTGCTCGTACATCAAGACAGCTTACGAAATAAATACACGATTCTTTTTTGTTATGCGTTATTGGGAATTGGTTTGCGTGGAGCTATGAAGACGAAATTCGCATAGCAAAAGTCGAGCCACAAGCGCAAGAACAGACGAAAGAAGGTCGAATACGGCGCCGACAACAAAATTTAGAAGACATGAACATTACGTCGACCGTAGAAGACTTACACTATGGACCTAGTATCGATGATTCCATGTAAGTTGACAAATTTCATGATTTATTCATTCCCAAATTTTCAAACGCGTTTTTCTCGAAACCACGTTTTTCAAATCGGTACTCAAAATTTTTCGAAAACCAATGAACCGATTGCCTTGAATTTTTTTTTCTCGAAAACCAATAAACCGATTGCCTTGAATTTTTTTGTGGTTATTCTATACATCATTATCTAATACTTGTCATAGGATTTTTTTTTCGTTGCTTAGTTTTTGCTTTATAGGCAAAATAATAACTAATTTTGGTCGAAAAATCGCTATGTTATGTTCAAACGTCCGCCATTTTGTCATAAATCGATATTTTCAAAATCGGCTATGACAAGTACTAGATTATAGTATCTAATTTAATAATCTTTTTGGTTTTTTTGTTTGAGATGATTTTTGAAGAAACGCCAGTGGGTACCGTTTACCCGGATTTTTTACGGCGCTCCGAAGATTATACAACACCTCGTCAATTTTTGATTTTTTTTAATAAAAAAAATTAAACATATTCCTGAATGTGTATACTTTTAGATACAAAAACTCCCAATCCGAAATTTCAAATAGTTTTCCTTAAAAAAATTCACAAAAATGTCCTTTTTTTCCGGCTCCTAGGTGTCATCTCCCCTTAACGGATTGGAGGGCAAGGTGAAGTTCGTCGGGGGAGAAGGGAGAGTCGAACCAGCCAAGGTTGCCTTGATAATGCTGAGGGATCTCAGGAAGAGGAGAAAGACAAGAGGGAGGGCAAAGTTTATTAATGGCATTCTGTATCGCCACAGAATTGTCAAGAGTTTTTATTAAGGGCGTTAGAATTAGCCGGAAGAAGACGGCGGTTACGAAAGCATTTAAGCATGCGCCAAATTTCTGTGGTAGGAGTTTTAAAGTCAAGGGAGCCACAGAAGGTTTTCCAGCTATTTCGCTTAGCTCTACGTAGAATCTTCCGAGTTTGACATACTACCGAGCGGTAGAAAATGTAGTTATCTTGAGAAGGATTCCGCAAAAAAGCTCTGAGAGCGTTCCCACGGTTCCTGATCGCCTCCGAACATTCAGGCGTCCACCATGGTGCCGGTGGAGAGCCTTTGCGAGTGAAGGGTGAGCGAGCAGTTGGAGAGGTGGAGAGAGGCCTCGGCGATAAGAGGTGTTCGTAACTGACGGCGATGAGTTCCTGGAAGGTATTGTATTGAGATATAGGATCATGAATGGAGTTAATGGTTTGAAGAATAGCCTTGAAGTTATCACGAAGGTATCCCTTAACTTCGATCCATTGAGTTTTAGTAAGAGTAATTTTGTAAGAAAAAACAGAGGATGTGCGGACCACGCAATTGACGCGGACCGCTATAGGGTAGTGATCACTTCCGTGAAGGTTAGAAAGGACCTGCGCTTCGCAAAACGAGGAAACGCAAAATGCAATGGTGAGATCAATGGTAGAGGAGCGGGGAGGAGAGAAAGAAATGTAAGTAGGAGAGGCGGGGGGATTGAGGATCACCAGATGGTGATCGTCAATGAACTTGCCGAAGATACGACCGGCGGCGTCGGTGCGCGAGCCACCCCACATGGGATGGTGCGCATTGAAGTCTCCAAGGAGGATAGAAGGATCGTGGTCGTGAATGAAAGTGGTGAGTGAGGAGAAAAAGTTAGCAGAAGCGGGAACGTTGGGATGTCGATAAATGCCTATAAGGTACAAGTGGGAGTTATCGAAAGATAATTTCATGTTCAGGGCTTCAATAGAATTATCTATCATTGAAGAGAGATCGAGAGGAGAATAGATGATAGGATTGCGAATGAGAGCGATTATACCCCTGATGTTATCAGCGTCTGCACCGATGCGAAGGCAGTCGAAACCCCGCACGAGAAAATCATGGAAAGAACTAGCACGGGTTTCAGCGAGAAAAAGGATATCAAAAGATTCAGATAGCTTCTCAAATTCGGCCTCCTTGCTAAGAGCGCCTCGACAATTCCAATAGAGTATTCTAAGTGCTTCCAGATTGTTCATAGTGAAATTATAAACAGAGAACAGGCTAATGAGAATTTTTTCGCTGTAAGTCGTGCGAGTAAAAGATTTATTAAATACGAAAAAATCAGACGTTTCGGCTTACATTCGAGCCATCCTCAGTGTATCGGATCCATATACAATCAAAATTCTTAGCTGGTTTGATAGGAGTGTGCCTAATCACACACAAATATCCGTTACCGAACATGGCAAAGAAGCATGTAGTTTATAAAATTAATTGCAATAATTGTGATGCTTCGTATGTCGGCCAGACAAAGCGGAAGTTAAAAACGAGAATCACAGAACACCGAAATAATATTAGAAAAAGCAATAACATTATTCAGTTATCACAGAACACAGATTGGAGCATGGCCACGATTTTGATTGGGAGAACACTGAGATTGTCGATAACGAACGATTTTTATACAGACGTATTTCTGAAATGCTACACATTAAGTTACAAAAGAACGGTCTAAATCTACAATCTGACACCGAATTTCTACATCACGCGTACATTTCAATTCTTGACAATTTACATTGATTTCAATGATATGTTGCACTAGGTCGTATTTCTATGCTTGTAATGTTCGGATGTATCATCTTTGTTTTTTATTGTTTATGCTTATAGCTACATGAAAACCGACGCTTAAGTTAAATCTTTGACAGTTACTCATTTGATTGCTAACTGTCGATTTGTTAACATGCATAAGTCATTACTAAGTATGGATGCGGATATATAGCGAAATTAATTTAATTTTTAATTGATTATGTTCACGGTTTGATAGGTAAGTGATCTTTCTAAAGTTTTCATTTATTTTACATTCTTCTCTCTTAATACCTTAATAATAGTTGGATTAGTTATATAGAATTCATTTTCAATTTATTTGGTCGCCTGATCTGTTAACCTGGTGTCTTTATAAGTGAAGCGGAATGATTGGACACTCTCCTATCAAACCAACTAAGAATTTTGATTGTATATGGATCAGATATACTGAAGATGGCTCGAATGTAAGCAGAAACGTCTGATTTTTTCGTATTTAATAAATCTTTTGCTCTCGCACGACTTACGGCGAAAAAACTCTCATTAGCCTGTTCTCTGTTTATATTTTGACATTCTCGAGAGTTTATTTGTATTTCTTTTATTGTTCATAGTGAGTTAGAAAGTGTTTGAAGGGCGTTGAGAACATTGTAGAGTCCCGTACTAAGATTTGAATTGAGAGGTGCTTCAAGGTTGTTATTTAACATCTGGAGAAGCAAAGAAACAATTAGCTGGATTATATGTGAGAGACCGTATTGCTGTGGATTAGAAGAGAGGGGCGGCGAGGGGGAGAGATGATAGGGAGGAGAAGGAGAAGGAAATGATGAGGGGGTGGAAACGGAGGGGGGAGTGGAGGAAGAGGGCGTAGTGGAGAGGGGAGCAAGGCGAGTGGAGGGGGTGCAAGGAAAGAGAAGGGGGGCAGGGGAGTTAGTGTAATTAGGAAGTCGACCATTAGGCGAATAAAGCAAAGCGTTATGGGATTCCTGTAACTTAGTGTAGGCGTCCGGGGGGCGATGTACAGACGTCCTATCATTGCCATTGTCAATGCAAGGATGAGCGCGTGGAAATGAGCCCGGTGGGTGCCTCCATGGAGTGGGGTCTCGAGGGGGGTGGGGATCTATTTGTTTGTTTGGAGAGGCGGC